CCAAAGTAGACCAACACTGCAACACAGTACATGAGAACAGGACGATGAGATGGTGCAGTCACTTTTTGATGAACTAAACTTAACCTGGAGTTTAGGAGAATGCAAGACAGATGTGGAACCAGAAGTGTCTGGGTGCAAACTGAAACTGCATATCTCAGACTTGCAATCTCAGACATAATGCACTCAATGGAGCTAGTGACATCACTGTGAGGGGTAGGGTTAAGGGTGGGGATATTTGGTGCATTAAAAAGCATTAAGGGCAGCTCAGCTGGCAACTATACCATGTCTGCATCCAGACCCCTCTCTGTGGAACTGACAATTCAACTCACAATCTATAGAGTCTGGTTGTGAAGTGCAATGCTGCACTCTGCTGGACATTATTATTTGTACAGTTTAGTGCATATTAGTTCCACCAAAGAAACATTCACCATTTACACCCTTTCAAGTAGTTCCTCTTTTTTTTCTGGTGAACACAAAATAAGATATTTTGAAGAATAAGAAATGTTGGCTACTTGTTTACAACATTCTTCAAATTATATTGTGTGTTTTTGTGTTCAAAAAGAGAAAGAAACTCAAACAGGTTTAAAACAAGTGGAAGATGAGTAAATGATGACAGAAATTACATTGTTGATCAAACTAACCTTTTAAGGACTGAGTGGGGTGAAATACGGGGTGCCTTGTGTTTATTTAGATATAAATCTAGATATAAAAATTTGGTATAAAAGGCAAATTGTTGTCTTAAAAAAAATCCCCATAAAATAACTAAAGATTATTAAAATTATTTTAAAATTGATGGTTCATTTATTTGTCCTTTGTTTAGTTAATTTGTTCATTTATTTATAAATAACAAAGAAATAACTGGCAACTAACTAGATGCTAATTAAAAACAACAACTTGCCTTTAATTTTAATCAAAGTAATTATATACATTAATTATATTAATTATTATTATTATTATTATTATTATTATTATTATTATTATTACTATTCATTCATTCCTTTTCTTTTCGGCTTAGTCCCTTTATTAATCTGGGGGTCACCACAGTGGAATGAACCGCCAACTTATCCAGCATATGTTTTACGCAGCAGATGCCCTTCCAGCTGCAACCCCTCACCATTAAACAACCATACACACTCAATCACATACAAACACTACGGACTATTTTAGCCTACCCAATTCACCTGTACCACATGGTTTTGGACTTGTGGGGGGGAAACCGGAGCACCCGGAGGAAACCCACGCGAAACGCGAGGAGAACATGCAAACTCCACACAGAAATGCCAACTGACCCAGCCGAGGCTCAAACCAGCAACCTTCTTGATGTGAGGTGACAGCACTACCTACCATGGCACCATGTAATTGTTAATATTATAATTTTTAGCAGTAGTATTAGTAAATAGTACTTGTGAAAGCCTTAACAATTTTATATCTACAATTAAATAATATAATATTTTCTTTAATTTAAATAATAAAAATATATAATTAAATCATTTAATTTGTATCCATAATAATGTATATAATAATATATAATAATAAAATGTATCCATAATAATATTAATAATAATAATAATAATAATAATAATAATAATAATAATAATAATAATAATAATAATAATCATATTAATATTATTATTATTATTATTATTATTATTATTATTATTATTATTATTATTATTATTATATTGTGATGATCACTTCAAGTTAGTATATACAGTCATATATAGTAGTATATCCACTGCAATTTAATACAGTAAAAAATTTCAATAAATAAATAAATAAATAGTACTCGCTAACTGACTCGTAATAATAATGATAATAATTCTATTAATAATAATAATAATAATAATAATAATAATAATAATATGTAAATATATGTTTATTTTTATATATGTGTAGCTTTTAATTCATACATTTTAAGTAGGGATGCATCGATATGGATTTTTTGGCCAATACCGATAATTCTTCAGACTTGGAGGCCGATAGCCGATATATATAGGCCGATAATTATAAATATTTCAAAATGTTATATTTTTATACAGCAAACTTCATAAAAGCTGAAACTCTGCTCTTTTGAACTGAATAGCCTATACTCAAAGCAAAAAAGCTATGATTTCAAAATTACAAGGTGATAATATAAACCTATATTCTTGATTACACACAAATCAGCATGCAAAAAATACATTATTTCATTTTCTTCATAGCAAATTAACATGCAAATTGACTGTTGCATAAAATTAAAAGGTTAAATAACAAAATGGGATTTAATTAACAAGCAAGTTAAATATATTTTAAATAAGATGAAAATTACAGAGCTAAGGACTAAAACCAGCTCAAATGTTCTTGAATAAAACGGGTTACAGTAATGTGCGCGTGTACAAATATGTCATGTCCGAAAAAGCCTTTTTTAGAGGTGTTTTGACAGTTCAGAGCCACAGTACAAGTAATATAGATATATTTATGTATTATTTTTAAAAATGCGACATGAATTCATCCTATTTGGCGTTTTAGATTCTTTTGAACACATGTAGCATCAACGATTCTGTGTTTGTTCTTCCTGTCAATCACAGGGAAAATGATCAATGAAAAGTTTATGATAAACCGTTGTGAGGGCGCAGATTTGCCCTCGGATTTTGATACAAACCTGATCATTGAGCTCAGATGACTTTATGACACACACAGAGCAGTATATAAAGACAGAACGTGTGGCCCGTATGCTGGATTCAGTGACCGGTGCACCTAGGCTCACCCCTGTTGATCTGTGAAGGCTCAAGATCTATGTGTGTGTGAAGGCTGTCAGATCTTTGTGCGTGTGCGCGCGTGCGGTAAAAGCTCTCGCGAGCTCGTTATAATCAATATGAATATTCCGATCAAACTGAATACAATCTTACATCAACAACACATGGGAAGCAATGCGTTGATAATAACAAAAAATTATGTTAGATTAAAAACCTTTCGTAAAGTTTTTGTTTAGCGCATCACGTGTGCAGGTCAGTTTGGTATGTGTGTGTGTGAGTGTGTGTGTGTGTGGGTGTGTGTGTGTGTGTGTGTGTGTGTGTGTGTGTGTGTGTGTGTGTGTGTGTGTGTGTGTGTGTGAAGCGAAGAGGGAGAGACAGAAAAGAGGAGCGCTTTTTTCAGGTCCTCATTCATTCACCGGCTGCAACTAAAATAATTAACCCCGAAACTAATATTATTCGGGCCTGGAGTAATAAGTAAATCTCCCTGCTATCTCTAACACAACAAAGAGACAGAGCAGGAAAGGCTTTCATATGTAATATTTTTTCCTGAGGCGATTTGAAGCAAAATACACAATGACACTAAATCAAACATATCTACAATGATAAGTATAATGGTTACTTACTGAGTTATTAATGCACAGCAATACCACATGAAGAAAGGACGGACTTTGAAAGAATAATCAGTGCGAGGAGAGATCCATGAACAAGTCTGAACATGTTCCGCCCACGCGTGCACGGCAACAATTACGAAATTTATCGGCTTAAAGATATCAGCCTAATTTAGACATCGGATCGATAACGATAATCTTAAAAATAGCATTTATCGGCCGATAACGATATGGCCTTCGATATATCATGCATCCCTAATTTTAAGTTTTCCTTCACTGTTGTATGTTGCAAATAAAAAAAGTACAATTGGCCAATATAAATACTCTGGACAATAAATTTGTCCATTTCTCACCAAAGAAGATGTACATGAGAGCGAGCAGAGTGAGGGCTACAGCGATGGCCAGTTTTGTGTCGACAGCAAAGCCGAGGACCAAAGCCACAGATCCACACAGCAGCAGAGTCAAAACCACCACCAGCCATGAAAATTGAAACAACGGCTCCACCTGCTGCCCGGCAAATGTCTTCATCTCATCTGGTATACAGAAAAAAACACACACACAAATCACACCTCACCTAGATGATAAAGATCCAACAAGGAACCTATATATGTGATTCAATAAACTGCATGACATAGCATTTAACATGTGGTCAGGCTCATACCCTCCAGTTTCTTCAGTAGGAAGGACTTGCCGCTGCCCCACTGGGCATAAAGGCCCACACAGATGGGAGGCTGCATTGTGGGTTCACTCAAGATATCAGCCAGAGCACTGCTGTACAGGTCATAACCCAGCATATCTCCATCACACTCAGAGGGAGACAGGTGCTCTGCAGAGGAAAAGTTTGAGATACAGGGTTGACTGAGGTAGGGATATCAATGAATAATCTAGTGAGCACATCATTGATGGTCGAGAGACACTACTGGCAAAAACAGTGTTTTTATGCACTGGTTCATTTTGAGATTTGGTTTTTCAATAGGTGTTAAATTTTTGGCTTTCCATTAAGTTTATGCCATTTTTTAGTCCATTAAAAAAGAAAACCTCCAACATAATATTTAGTCGCAATAGTTTGCTTTAGGGCTGCACAATATTGGAAAAATGTGACTTTAGGATATTTTTCTTTTCTATGATAAATTGTGCAATATGAATACAGGTACATCAGATGCCTTGAATAATGCTGAAAATTGTTCATTAAATCAGATTGACTGTTATATTAAAAATGATTAAAAAAATTGTAAACAAATTACAAGGTTTTGTAAAACTGTTTTCAGGTACAGAAATTGGAAATAAATGTATGAATGTACGAGAACACTGCATAGTCTTGATTGTATAAATAATGACATTAATTGTGTCTTAATAAAAAGGTACAAATGGTATAATATATTGCGCCCAAATGCTTTAAACTCTTTTAAAATGTTCATACAGTCAAATGCTCAAAAAACACAAGCAGCCTTCTACTTTAAAAATAATAATAATAAAAACTATGGCTTCTGGTTAACTATAAACCCAACTCAATAATGCATATACTGCAATGTAGGGCTGTATGATTAATCGAAAAAAGATCTCGATTCGACCCTACACACAATCTTAATTCAGCTTTTCTATGATTCCGCCAATTATATTTCCAGGGTCAAGAGAGAAGCAAGGCATGCGCACAAGTCTTCACAGCAACATTGACACATTCAAATGGCGTTAAATACTGTGTTTATAAGGTATAATTCACTCAAAAATTTAATTTCTGTCTCCATGTAATGATGTATTTGTGGCCGCAAAAATCACATGTGACGCAATGTTTGTTTACTACCGAGAATGCGCGCGTGCACGCATGACGCCTACTTTAGTGAACACAACCTGCATAGCCTGTGAAAACAGGTAATGAAGTTGTAAATAACGTTCAGTTTGTTGCACAGAGCGATCGTTTGAGGGCCGTGCGGGAAGTTTGATTTGCATGTACATGTTTTTTTTTTACAGTGACGCAGCCATGAGCCGCACACGGAAGTGAAAGAGAAACCTGTGCGCACATCATTTAAATGATCATAACGCATTTGTTGTGCATGAAAATAAATGTTTACTATGTCAGTATAACAACCCTAGCCTATACATAATGTCAACCCAAGCTCATTCTGAAAACGTAGCCCTGCGGTCGTTTCTGGAGACCGCGATTTACATGGCCGGAGGTACGTATGGCTGCATTACGTTTTTTTTAGCGAACGCTACGGGGTGGTGTGACATCGCTCCTCTTCGCGCTCGCCGGCTGACGGCTCACCTCCTCCGTGTGGAGGGCTTTTCGCCGCAACCAGTTTGTCCTGTTAGCTCGTCATGTTACGTTGGCGGAGCGGAGGCCAGAGGAGAAGGAGCCAGCCGCGTTCGACGACCGGGTTCGAGTCCGGGGAAGACTGATTTCAAAAATCAGATAAGAAAACAGAATCCAAAAAATAAAGCGAAAGAGTTCATAACGGGCGAGAATGTGGTGAAATCCGAAAACGCGGTCAAAATCGGACGATTTTTGTAAATCGTCGCTTGGGTTTAGGGAAGAAGGAGGAGGAGGGTTGCCGGGTCGGCCGATTGGCCAGCCGCCCAGTCAATCGTTCAGTCATTCAGTCCGTCAGACAGACCGTCGCTCGACAGCAGCCTCCGATGGCTTTTTACATAAGAACAGCACAGGCGCGAATGGCGCGCCCTTGCGAAAGGCGTTCGAGACGCAAAAAAGTGCACACAGCAGCCTCTCGCGGATTTGTGAAAACAAAAACTGCACAAATACGTACCACTCAGGACGTATTTCTCGGTCTCCATAAACGTCCGCTAGGCATGTTTCCAGAATGAGCCTGGATTGCATATTGTTGAATATAATGCAAGAAGGAATCTAATAATGACAAAATTCTAATTTTACCAGTGAAAACAAATGGTCTAATAATGTTGTAAATGGCAGATGACAAGCACATGTCGTAAACATAATAAATCAACTTTATAATTATGAATAGTTGTATTTTGATGACATAATTTTACTGTGATTTAACAAACAGGACATATTGAAAGTCTGTTCAAGTCCACCATAATGATTGTACAAAATTTAGCATTTTAAGCAACAGTAGACCTACACATAGGCCTAATATTATTATTGTTGTTTTACTATACGTTTAAGAATTAACAATAATAAAAGGCGAATCATATTAACCTTTATTTTACATTTACAGAATCGTGAGCAAAAAATATTGTGATTCACATTTTTGCCAGAATCGTGCAGCCCTACTGCAATATGACTATTGCAGATGCACATTGTGATATCCCTGCTGAAACAATATATTGTGCAGCCCTAGTTTCTTTTATTACACTTTATCAATTTGGATCCATAGGTTTTAACTGCGATAAATATTTTAACCCTTTGAGAGGTACAGGCCCACATGTGAGAATTCTCTTGAATTTAGCCACAATTTCTAATTTTCAACTTACATCCACAAAACTGCAATGATTTATTCAAGAATAAGTCAGCATACATACATACATACATACATACATATATTCTGAAGGTTTTCACAGAGTGATGCTCATACATAATTTGCAGTGGTGTAAAGTAACACATTACAAAAACTCAAATTACTGTAATTGAGTAGTTTTTCTCTGCAATTGTAATTCACTAAGTACTTTTTACTAAGTAAAAATCTGTACTTTTACTTTCCTGTGAGTACATTTTCAGTGCAGTATTGGTACTTTAACACTACTTTTCCTTCAACCTGCAGTCACTATTTTTTCTTGTCTATGGGAATTTAAAAAATCAGTGCTGTCTATCCAATTAAATCGCACATAGAAGGTATATTGCATCAAAATTAACCACCAAAAAGACCATAAGTGATTTATAATTGCAGCAAACTGTAGAGACGCATTAAAAAGAAGATGTCCAAAAGATGTCAAGAAGAGGCCCAAAATCTTTACAGATATTGACCCAGAGAGTGTTTAGATGCATGTCACTGATTAGAAAATGACCTTATAAGGCCATGTTAAAGGCCATGACCCTAAAATGGCCTTAAACACCCAGCAGGTACAAGATGTCAACATGACGCCAGATAGACATTGTACCCCAAAAATGTCATGGGAACATTGCATTTCACTTGGAAATAAAAATCTGCTTGACATCAGAACTCAAAGTCAGGTCGACTTCAATGTCAAGGCCCAACGTAAAATCAACCAAATATCAATGTGTAATGATGTTACAGTTTGACATTGTGTGGACGTTACCACTAATAATTGTATCAGATGTTGGATTTTGGTTGGTATACCTGATGAATGCATGTCAGTACTTGATGTCAATATGACGTTGGTTTAAGATGTTGGCCCGACGTTGGATTTTGGTCACTTTCTAAAACAACCTAAAATCAACCAAATATCAACATAATTTGACGTCACTATTGGACATTAAAATAATGTTGTACTTAGACGCTGGCTAGATTATTAACATCCTATGACGTGCACCTGCTGAGCAATAACTTAATGCACCACAGAATGTTACGTTGACACATATCCACAAACTCCATGTAAATGCATCAGCTTTTAATAGCGTAATACTACTCACTACTCTTAATTACTTTTAAAAGGGCTACTTTTTACTACTACTTTGAGTAATATTTACAACAGATACTTTTACTCTCCTTACACTACATTTTTGGCAAGTAATGATACTTTTACTTAAGTATGATTTTTTAAATCTACAATTTTTTGTTTTTGTTGTGGCTTTCACAGTATAACTTTGCCAATGTGTACATCTGGCAAAACATAATACACAATGTATACTGTATTAGTTATTATGTTTATTAATTAAACGATTCTACTAACTTATCATTTTTTTTATAATCCCACAATACCTTCCACATCCTGTTATGCCAGTGAAAATGTGCCACTAAAACAGACAGATCTTCCATTATTATGGTTAACTGGTGGAGGAATTGATTAATTGATCATTAATTAATGTCGGTTGCTCTAGAGAATTTGTGGAAACTGACATCTGTAAGTTGATGGAATACTCACTGGCTCCGAATATCTGTGTGAGGATGCTTTTTTGGTGTGTGCAGTCAATGTTGTAGGGCGTTTCTCCCTCTTTGTTGGGCCGGTAGAGCAGACGGCCATCTTTAGGGTTTCTCAAGAGCAGCTCAGCCAGTTTGCGGCTTCTCCCACGGATGGCAATATGCAGAGGTGTGTCACCTTTCTGAGAAAATAACAATGCAGCTTCAGGACAAAGTTGCTAAATATATTTGTTTGCAGTTTACTAGTGAATAAGAAATATTTGTACAGAACTGTGAAAGTGATTTGTACCTAATTGTACTTAAATGTATTTGTATGTGTTCAACAACATCCTTGTTTAATTTGGTTACTGAGTTTCATTATTTTTTGGAAAAACTGCAAAATTTACCTTGAAAAAACAACTAGCAGAAAATGTAAACATCGCTCATTCAATTCATAAATATATTTTACACTACATGAAAAACAGTTCACTCAGAACCTTTAGGACAAAATTATCCTTAAAACCTATTAAAACAGCAATAGTCATTTGGAGCCATGCACTCTTTGTTAATATGTGTCTAAATTGATGCAAATAAATAACTTCTTTTTTAACATTTTGGCACATTTTTCATGCTTGCTTAGCTTGTGCAGCAACATTTTTTCTTGTTTTCTGCTTTTGAGCACTGCAGGCAAAATAGGCAGGTGTATAAGTAAGAACAGAGATTGTCTTGCATGTATATACTAAAAAGTTGTACGTGTGAGAGGTTTGTTTGTTTGATTGCACATTTTAAAATGACATTGCACAATAAAAATGCACTAAAATCAGGATGTGAATTACAGTGGGCTTTGGGGGGGGATTACCCCCTTAATCAGAGCTTGATCTCCCCTGAAGGACGTCAAAACAAGATCTATGGTGGGTCAGCCCTTTAATAGTAAGAAACAGTTTTCTCTGATCTGTATTTTAAATAATAATGTTAATATTTAAAATAATAGATAATATAAATATACATTTGACCACACCTATAACAGTTCATACTATTGTGAATATGTAATGGCACCAATAAGTAAGAAAGAAAGAAACACTTACAGACATTGTAAGTGTTCACAAAACACTTTTCTCATAAGATAGCTGTGTAAGATATACTGTAGATAACACCTGAAGTCAAAATAGATGCCTACTTTGTATAGTTTGACTTACAGTAACCTCTGAAATAGCTAATCAGAGAATTCTGTAAGTCGGAATACACTGAATATCGCTCAAAACATGTTTTATTAATAAATTTGCATGTTACACAAATTAACATTAACAAAAAAGTTAACCCCCTGATTGTCAATGAATAATTAGCACCCTGATGAAAATGTATAATTTAGTTTATGGAAAATAATCACAATAATTATTTTCTTTATTAGAAATTAATCAAAATCTTTAACATCAATTCATTTCTGGTACAGTACTTATCATCAGGACCTATGCTGGTAGATAAATATGTCAGTGAAAGCAATAAGGACAAAAACTATATGTAACTTTTAAATTGATATAAAATGGTTATACGAGTGAAATGATGTATGCTTCATTTCACAAGATGAAAGACATGATGTGCATGTATGTGCAACAATTTTATGGTTACTTAGAATATGCCTTAAATGTTTGTGATTCATGTCTAATGACATCTTTTTACCTTATCCACCGCTGACACCTTGGCACCTTTGTCCAATAGAAGCTCCACGATTTCCATGTTTCTCATCTTGGTGGCTTTTATAAGTGGAGTCTCTGCATCCTGACACATTAAGAGAAACCGCACATACACAAGTAAGCCCAAATAACTACATCTTTCTTATTAGCGTCATATTTTATAAGTATCATACAAGATTATAGTGCAAAAAATCCAGTAGGAATCACATCCTTACCTTGGTGTAGGCCTCAGTATCAGGGTTGCATTGCAGAATATCTCGTACCATGGTAGCATTCCCTTTCTCCACAGCCCAGTACAGGGCAGTCTTACCATCCTAAAATCAAAAACAAAGCCAAAGCGAATCAAATGACAGGAGGTCATGATGATATCTACTTCCTTAATCACATGGGGATTCATAATATGTTTATAATATGAGGTGAAAAGGCCATTAAAACAAAGAGGCTGTTCTGTGTAGATGAGCATGCAGGACGTTGTGATGACAGATATGGAGATTGAAGATATTGGAGATAGACATGCTTCAGTGGAGATGTTTTTTTGTTTTTTTTACCTGGCCTTTGACATCAATATCAGCGTATTTATTCAGCAAAGCTCGGACAATCTCCACATGACCTCCTCTGACGGCTCCGATAAGCACCGTATCTCCACTCTAGGACATATACATGCACAAGATGGATGAGGGTCGAGATTCCTCAAATACCAACAATCAAGGTTAAACGTGTGATAGGAGAAGGCCTACCCGGTCAGGGATGTTGACGTATGTGCCTGCGTCCAGCAAGTCTTGGACGATCTCGGTGTAGCCCTCTATAGCGGCGATCATCAATGCTGTATTGCCATCTTTGTCGGTCATATTCACATTGGGGTTTCTCTTAAGCAGTTCCTTCACCACCTCAGTGAAACCACCTCGGACGGCCACTATCAGAGCAGTCATCGAGTTCTGCAGGAGATTATATTAGGAAGGGACAGGGTGTGAATTACAGGGAGGTTTGGGGAGGGATTGAACCCTCTAATTAACGTTTGATCCCCCCTGAAGGACATCAAAACAAGTATCTTTCTCTTATCTGATCTTTATCTTAAATTTTGATAATTAAAAATGCATAATATAAATATACATTGGCCTATAACGGTTCATCCCATTGTAAATGTATTTTCGTGCTAATCAATGCTGGGAAAAATATTATTCAACGGACTGAAACTGGCAGTTCTAGAGCACCGATAGACATCTTAAGTATTTACAAAACACATTTCAAGAGTTCACACTAAGATATTGTTTGACAAATAAGTGGAGTACGAGATCAGGTGGTTCTCGAGAGCTCCCCGTGGTAAAGGTGGAAAGGAGAAGAAGGGGTGGTTGGGGGGTTTAGTAGTTCGAGCTAGGCTACTTATAGTGAGTTTGGATTAATCTGATTGGCTAACTAATGATTGTATATGGGTGACCAGCTGCAGTCAATCATATCACATGCTCCTCTCGAAATTATTTGTGAAACTTCACTTCTTGTAAAATAGGTGTTTATATCTACATGTAGGCTAAAAAAAAAGAAAAAATAGACATAGCATTACAGTAAAATAAAAGCCTCTAAAATAGCCCCTAAATATCCATTGAAACACTAAAAAAATATACATTTTATTCATAAATTAGGTGTAATTTAAATAACTTCATAAATTGGATTAACTGAAGCACGTATAGCCAAACTACTACTGACAAAGTTGACCCCCCAATCATCAATGTATAATTCACACACTGGTATTAGTAGAATATTCGATGTTATGCAGAATACTATGACTGCAGTTTTTAGGTCAAATAAATACTAAAGGGGAAGTAGGATGCCAAACACTTTTGTTCCCTTTTACACTAATGATATTTACAGGGACATATTATGGACACTTATAACATTATTTCAACAAAGTTCTTTTCGCAACACCAAATAAATACCACAAAACAACTTAACCGGGTTTATGATTTGTAATTGAATAAGTTTAAGTCTATCTTTCTTCTTTAGGGCAACTTTTCTGACATTGCCAGGTTTTATTTATATTGTGGTCATTTTATGTTTGGCAAATAATTAAGGCAGATGATGCATGTTTTACAATGAGGCTGGGTTTGATAGAAGGCTGTACAAATTTTATGTTACCTGACCTAAGCAATTCAATATGCCAATATATTATTATGACATGTTAAAAGAAAACAGGTATGCTTAAGAAATTACAGTTTTTTTTATTTATTTATTTTATTTTATTTTATTTTTATTTTTTTGGTGAAAAATCCTTGTGGTAACATCACAGAGGGGCTATGTCTTTGTATGTCCAAAACGTCACATTCCAAAACCTTTTGATTCAATATTTCTCACTGGTGGGATGATCTTTTCATTCCCAAGATTACTTGCCACTTCACTCTGCACTGTGCCTGTGTTAGGTCTTGTATTGGACATGGTTATTTTTTTTGTTTGATTTTTGCAGAGCCTGGTTGGTGATTAGTGAGTGGATTTGGATCATGATCTCAGGTCACTATCATGTAAACGCTATTCACCACTGACTTCCACTTATACTGACTTTATTTATAAACTGTATCCTCTGTTTCTCTATGTTATTTGCTTATAAATAATTTATCTTTATAATTTACCCAGTCTGCATTGTCTCTCTTATGTTGCAGTTTTGAGCTGGTTTTGGCAGTCTGTTTTTGTACAACCATTTAAATTTGACTAAAAATAAGTTAAAAACACAAAGAAGCACATACCGCTCCTTCCTGGTCCACATTGGCGCCATTCTCCAGCAGGTGCATCACACAGTCATAATGGCCTTTCCTGGAGGCCCAAATCAGTGGTGTGGTGCCATACTGACAAAAACAATGACAAACTACTATTAAACAAATTCACAGGTAAGAACAGTAAGCATAAGGAAGTAAAGAGTCTATTTATAAATTCAAGATGAGCCATTTAGAAAACCACCCATTATCTGAATTCTGTAATTATTATCATCCGTTTATATCTCCATTTATCTGTTTATCGAGTCCTGATCCTTGATTGACAGATCAGCAAAGGAGCTACACTACTTGGTATAATAGCTGTGAATTTCCATGATAATAATTCATAAACTAAATGAGTATTATTTGTCATATAATAGAAGAACAAATAATTTTAAGTGATGAATTACAGTGATTTTAATAAAATTAGCAACTCTATTTTCTTGTTGCTTTTCCATTTATGTTGCAGTTGAATATATAATTTGATAAATTATTAGTATATATAATTTTTTTTTTTGATTATATAAATAAATATACAGATTATATTTTCCATTCCATTTGGGTAAGTTTTTTTGTTTGTTTGTTTTGCTGTTAAAAGACAGATCCATTTACAGTAATATTCAAATAACTATCACAATTTAAATGACAATTTAAATAAATTATTTATTTATAAATCATTATAATTTAAATTCACTGTACAACTATTACATTAAAAAAAAGTAACTTGTGCTGGCAAGCCTAATCTCTTAATATGTTGCATAATATGCTGTTTGATGTGGGACAATTTTTTTAATATATTTAAATATATAATTAAAATAATAATATTTATTATTATATATTTTTTTAAAAAGTGTTCCCTTTTGAGGAAACATAAATTATTTTTCTGGATTCTTTTGTAAACATTTTTTTTTTTTAAACAGCACTTATTTAAAGTTTAAATGATCAAATGTATATTAAATTGTGCATCATTATACAGTAAATGTCTTTAATGTCACATTTGATCAATGTAATGTGCTCTTGTACAGTATCATTACTTTTGCGTTTTTTGCTCTCAAACTTTTGCTCCAAAGAGTACTGTGGACTCTATTTTGGTTTCATGTTGAAACAGTTGACTCTTGTTTTTGTAAGTTAAGCATCAGTGTGTATGAATGCAGTGAAAGCTCAAGTCAGCGTTTTCTGAGATAGAGTGATAAGGCACCTTGTCAGAGCAGTTGACTTTGGCTTCATGCTGAAGCAGCAGCTGAACAATCTCTGCATGGCCTCGTCCTGCCGCCCATATGATGGGGTAAACACTGTACTACTGGCACACACAAAAACAATCACACACCACAGAAAACATCCAAACCTAGAGAAGAAAACTCAAAGAAAGACATTGTTTGTAAGGCAAGACACTGCAGTCAAAAACCCATACAGTATACGGTATTTGTTTTTTTATTGTTGTTTTCTTGATTTCTGCCTTTTTGTCTTACCATGAAGTGCTTAATGAAATCACCCAAAATACACTTTCAAGTGTCTCACTTACTGCACTTCATCAGTTTGTGCTAGCAGATTTCAATGATACTACATATTTTTAAAGGCTGTTTCTAACTTAACAGTTTTATTTATATCTACGGTGCTCAGCATATTTGAGAACACTACACACAAATCTCTCTTTTCAATTTATATTATAATAGGGAGCTCTACAATATTATATTTTTGCATATACATTAGATTAGTCAGTACTGAAGCCAAATCTGGAGCTTATCTAACAGAATAACTTACAATAACGGTCCAAAAACTAGTACACCCAAATGTATATGTTAGAGAAAAATATTAAATACAAATTTTAAAAAAGAGGAAAAATCAAGAGAAGCAAAATAAAATTGAAACATTTTGTTAAAATTTTGCAGGTTATTTTTATTTTTATGTTTTGAATATTTACAATCTTAAATTTAAATGTATTCCCCTTCAATTTCTAAATATGTTTGGTGACTAAAATATATATTTTTAATTAATTTATCTGTTTAATAAGTCTGTTTTGTTTAAATGCACCGCAATACATTGCCTATATTCACTGAGAAATGGATACAAATATTCATTTTCAAAATAGGGTGTACTCAGTTATTCTGAGCTGTGCATACTCTGAAGAATTTTACAAAGAAATAGGTTCATACATAATATTCCCTGATGAAATACGATTTCTAAAATTTTATTCTACAAAAAAAAACTGTAAAATGTTTTTTTTTTGTCTCTTCACAGTAGTGATAAAACAAGACACCCAAAATGTAATCCTGACTTCACTTATATATTTTGTTAATAGAGATATATTCCTATAATATATGCAAATTCAAACATAGTATTTTAGAAAACTTGTAAGACAAAAAGAAAGCAATCTTTATTAATTAATGTAATCAATCAGTATTTTAAAATATGTCAAAGTATAACGTTAAAGTGACAGTTTACCAAAAACACATTACAATAATGTCATCATTTACTTTCATTTTACTTGATTAAAACAATTTGCATTTCTTTCTTCTATTAAACCCAAATTAAGAAAATTTGAAAAAATGTTTATGGCTGGCATCAAAATTGACTTCCATGTTTTTTTTTTTTCCTATCATGGAAGTTGACCTTCTGGTTCCCAGCCACCAGCATTCTTCAAACATAACATAAGAAAGAAACTTGTAAAGGTTTAAAACCCCATGAGGGCAAGCAAATGAGGTGTTTTTCATTTTTTACACTATTTACCTGGGTAGGGTTGCACCAGCTGTTCTTTCTTAAACTGTAACGTAAAGTTTATACTAGGGGTTTAGAAACTACTAGCTAGTTTGTACTTAAATTTGTTCTTGCTTCAGTTGCACCACTTGTTCTTAATGCAAATAGTAGTTATTAGGTCATAAGCTCTCCGTAAAATCAAGCATAGTCACATTGAATGATGTAATATTCAATAAAAAGCATTTAAATTTCTTTATTGCCATATATATATATATATATACACATACACAACAGTTCTGTCTGGTTCTCAAATCTGATTGGCTGATAGCTGTGCGATATTCTGCGATATTCTCGACCTACGGCACTGGTGCCTCCCACCAGTGCCGATATACAGCCATATCGCACTGCTACGAGTGTGCTACACGAGTAGCAGTGTGATATGGCTGTATATCTGCACTGGTGGGAGGCGGAGGTGTGCATTGGCACAAGGCCGCAGGCATGCCTTAGTGCCCCCACCAGTGCCAAAATACAGCTATATCGCATTGCTACGAGTGTGATATTGCGTTTATACAACAGTTTGACGAAATAATTGAGTATATAAAAACAAAATCAGTCTCAAAAACCCTTTTGTATGAGGAACTACTTTCTTCCGGATTCAAATCATGAGCTGACAGTTCAACAGCTGAGCAAGCATCTTTTAAACTTTAGATCTTTAGTGTCTGCTTTTTGCTGGCTGTATGTGGTCGGTGTAATACACAAAGGGTAAAGAGGCTTTACGGGTGCTGATATTACTTAAATATATCACGGCTATCAGCCAATCAGATTTAAGAACCAGACAGAACGGTTATACATAACTGTACTATGAAAATGAAACAACAAATTACATTTTTATATTGCATTACATTACAGTCAGTCACTGTAACAAATGACGCACATGCCTACATTGTGAAGTTATCACATGAAATATCCTACACATGAAACGAAAAGTTGGGAGAAGAACTCAAGTTGTGAAGAAATTCTCATTTTAATTGATGATAGATTAAACACAAAGCACTTCTTGAAAAAAAACTAAACTCTTCTTTCACAAACTGAAAAAATGCGAGATCTGGGAGGAAAATAAGGCTGTTAGTAAGGAAAGATCATTCATTATCATCTCGAGCTCCTCGATGTAAAATAATCTCTCTGTCATCTCTTTTCCACCGTTACACGTGAGGGGATGCTGCCGTAAATATTAAGTTAAAACGTAACGTTACGTTTAAACTAAGTTCAGTGGTGCAACACAAAAATCTTTAGTAGCGTGTAGTGTCGCTTTAAGTCACAACTAGGCTATGTTTTAACTTGCGCACTGCTGGTGCAACCGGCTCCTGCAGTGTCTTGCTTTAATATACAATACATGTTTGAAAGCATCAGGTAAAGGCTCTGCAAACCTGTCCGGTGATGTTAGGGTTTGCTCCCTTCTCCAGCAGTAGACCTGCCACCTCCACACGGCCCTTATAAGCGGCCCACATGAGCGCACTCCAGCCCCCCTTAACACAAACATACCAAGGTCATTATATTACCACGTGATGGTCCTTAATAATAATCTCTCAGTCACAGGACTTTGTGGAAAAACACATTTTCCCTGAGTCAGGGAGTGACTCAAACTATCGGCTGTCTCTTATCTTCCTTATTTGTTATTATAAGCTTTAGCTGCCAACCAGACAGCATTTATGGGCAACAGAGACGCACTTGAACACTCCATTTTGCATTTAAATGTGCCTATGATGAACAAAAATGCTGTCTAGATAGGCAGCTCATGCCATCAGAAAGTAAACTTGACCACAGCATGATAGTTTATATACAGGACTGCACAGAACTGCTGATCTTAAACACAGAGTATCACATATCATATATTCCAGTAAGGTAGGAATTAAAGGAATCCAGATGGGGCGGTTCAGTGTACACACAGTTTCTAAGGCTTTGAATGTTAAAAAGTAAAGAACTGTGTGATGAAAAAACAAACAACAGAACAAATAAATACATGTAGATAATTAAAATGAATATAGTTAAATAAAACTGAAATAAACAATAAGTTAAATAAGCTAATACATAATTAGTGTAAAACATTTTGGTGTAAAAAAATGTATACATGCTGTTTTAGTTTAACCTACATCTTTTCCTCATCACAACTTGTTACAGAAACAAACAAACAGCTTATAAACAATGTCACGTAGCATTACTGTATATTCACCGCAGGTAAGTCATTCAGCGTCTGAAGCTTAGATAAACTCCACACACTCTCAGAAATAAAGAAACTAAATTTGTCACTGGGGAGGTTCTTTTTTTAAAAAACAAATACTTTTGTACCATACAGGACATTATTATCCGTAGGGTACACTTTTGTAATATTAAGGTTCAATTTTGTACCTTTAAGGTACACATTTGTACACTTTTTAAGTATTAATATGTACATTTAACGATTTGGTAGGAACAAAAATGTACCTTTTGAAAAGGTGCCGCCCCAGTGACAGGTTTTGTACCTTTATTTCTGAGAGTGAGAATAAATGTTTGCATAATTTTTGCCTTTATTTATTCAACAAAAAAAATTAAAACAACATCTTAATATTTAAAATAAGCCAAACTTTCCTTAAAGATTTCAATGGATCAAAAGAGGTCCGTAAGGTTTTTTTGGGGGGATTGTTAAAATTTGACATCACTGACAATGAGATGCTCAAAAACAGCTGCTGATTTTAGTGTAGCCAGCTGCTTTAATCTGTATCTTACCATGTCTCGATGCTCCACATTGGCATTGTTCTCCAGGAGTTCCTTCACCACGTCAGTGTGTCCCTCTTTAGCAGCTGAAATCAGTGCAGTCCAGCAATCCTAATACAAGTGCAAAAAAGATTTAATTACATGTACATCGTCATCATCTCAGGAAGAGCTAAAGATTTCATGTATGTGGAGCTTCAGATCTTACCAGCTGGTCATACCAGGTGGTCATAGCGAAGTTTTCTTGGACTGTTACTACAAAGGTTTTATACTGTACTGTACATCTGCTAATGCGAGAAGCTCTAAAGTGTTTGTGCCTGTAAACGGCATCAGCTAGTCATTTACAAAATGACAGTACAAGCTACCAGTTATTATATTCAACGGCCCACCCACATATATGAAATCATACATCTCGGTGAAGAACTGAAGTCTAGCAAAGCAGACACAAACAATCAACACTACAATCAACACATTATATTTGTCTTTTTTTTTGTTATAATAAAGTAATAGATATAAAAGAAACATTATATACATGTATGTAAGCAATATTATAAGTGCTCCTGTGATTTTATTTTTTTTTTACTAAAAATAGTTTTTCAAATATTTCCCAAAATAATTAATGGAGGGAGGACATTTTACAGGAAGGCTAATCATTTTGCCTGTTGGGCAAAAATGTATTGCAATTAATCACATCCAAAAAAATATTAGTTTTGACATAGTTTAAGCATGTGCACTGTGTATATTTATTATGTATATATATACATACACACATGTATACATACAGTGCATCCTGAAAGTTTTCAAAGCGCTTTACTTTTTTCACATTTTTTATGTAACAGGTTTATTCCAAAATTAATTAAATTCATTTATTTCCTCAAAATTGTCCATAAAAATATCCCATAATGTCAACGTGAAAAATATTTTTTGAAATTGTCGCAAATTTATTGAAAATAAAAAACCTGAAAAATCACATGTACATAAGCATTCACAACCTTTGCCATGAAGCTTTAAATTAAGCTCAGGCACATTCTGTTTTCACTGATCATTCTTGAGATGTTTCAGCAGCTTAACTGGAGTTCACCTGTGGTAAATTCAGCTGAATGGACATGATTTGAAAAGGCATGCACCTGTACATATAAGATCCCAGGGTTGACAGTGCATGTCAAAGCCCAAACCAAGCATGAAGACAAAGGAATTGTCTGTAGACCTCCAAGACAGGATTGTCTCGGCACAAGGCTAAGGAAGGTTATAGAAAAATTTCTGCTGCTCTGAAAGCTCCAATGAGCACAGTGGCCTCCATCATCCAAAAGTGGAAGATGTTTGGAACCACCAGGACTCTTCCTAAAGCTGGCCAGCTATCTAAGCTGAGTGATCTGGGTAGAAGGGCCTTAGTCAGGGTTTTATAACTCGATGAGAGATTAATAACCTGATGGTCACTCTATCTAAGCTACAGCATTCTTCTGTGGAGAAAGGAGAACCTTACAGAAGGACAACCATCTGTGCAGCAATCCACCAACTAGGCCTGTATGGTAGAGTGGCCAGACGGAAACCTGGAATTTGCCAAAAGGCATCTGAAGGACTCTCAGACCATAAGAAATAAAATTCTCTGGTCTGATGAGACTAGACTTGAACTCTTTGGAGTGAATGCCATTTAGAGAAAGCCAGGCACTGCTTGTTACCAGGCTAATATCATCCATACAGTGAAGCATGGTGGTGGCATTATCAAGCTGTGGGGATGTTTTTTAGCAGCAGGAACTGGAAGACTAGTCAGGACAAAGGGAAAGATGAATGCAGCAATGTACAGAGACATCCTAAATGAAAACCTCAGAGTGCTCTTGACCTCAGACAGTTCATCTTCCAGCAGGACAATGACCCAAAGCACACCGTCAAAATATCAATGGAGTGGCTCGACAACAACTCGGTAAATGTCCTTGAGTGGCCCAGCCAGAGCCCAGACCTAAATCCTAATCTGGAGAGATCTGAAAATGGTTGTACACAGTTGCTTCCCATCCAGCCTGATAGAGCTCGAGAGGTACTGCAAAGAGGAATTGGCAAAAAAATCCCAAAGACAGGTGTGCCAAGCTTGTGGCATCATATTCAAAAAAGACTTGAGGCTGTAATTGCTGCCAAAGGTGCATAAACAAAGTATTGAGCAAAGACTGTGAATACTTAAGTACATGAGGTCTTTCAGGTTTTTTATTTTTAATAAACTTGCAACAATTTGAAAAAAATCTTTTTTTCACATTCTCATTATGGGGTATAGTGTGTAGAATTAAGGAAATAAATTAATTTAATCCATTTTAGAATAAGGCTGTCACATAAGAAAATGTGGAAAAAGTTAAATGTATATTTGATTAAAAAAACAAATATATATATATATATATATATACAAACAAATATATATACATGCAAACATACATACATACACACACACACACACACACACAGACACACACAGATTTATATACACACATATACTGTATATGCACATGTAGATACAAACATGTATACAACTCAAAAGTTTTTACGGTGTATACAAAAACTCAAAAAAAAATGTACACAGAATGCTGTTTATATTAAAAAGACATAACAGAAGTCTACTCAGTGAAACAAATCTCATTACACTCAATAATAGCCAATATTTTTAGAACAGCTCTCAATCTTTCCATATAAAGCCTGATGACACTGGAGGAAACCTGAAAAAGGACTAAAGAGCACGTTTTTATTTCTGGAACATGTCAATGTTCTTCTCTTTCCTCTGGTATGACACAAGTATTACAAGAAGGTGATTGCCACATGTCCCTGTGCTCGAGTTTGAGCAGAATAAGAGTCTGTACATGTTTTTGTGACATACTGTATCAGGACAAAAACCTGTATAATGACATAGGTATGACACAGGTACTACAAGAAGGTGGTGAAATATGAGGACATTGCTGATGTCCTTATTTCTCAAAAAGCTTATAAGACACACAGACTTTTATAAATCACACATTTATTTTAGAAAGTAACTGTACAGTTTCCAATGAATGTTGGGTAGGATTAGAGCAATATTTAATACAGTTTGTACAGTATAAAAACAAACAATGGAAACCTTTGTAATGTCCCCACAATTCACAAAAACAAATGTGATTGACTGTCTTTATGTGAAACAATTTTAATGTTTACACTAGATTTTTCTAGAATTTTGACAAACTCTTAGGCAAAAGAGTCCAGCAAAACTGAAGTGACACTCACAATCCTGCTCGAAAAACAATGTGCAAGTTTATGGTTTAGCCCATGATATCTCATGTTGTGTCTCTCGGCTGCCTGTGTTTTGAGATGAAAAGTGAAACACAACTTACAATGTCATCCAGATGGATGTTTGCTCCTCTCCGGATGAGCTCCTGCACAATCTCTAGACTGCCCTGCTCTGACGCCAGCATGAGAGCAGTCTGGCCATTCTGCAGCACAACACAAACACGTAATGAGGACTTTAATCTGATGATGTTTATGGATCAAATGTGTGCCATGCTGTCAGTAAATGAGGTTCGGCTCATTAGATTTAGCTCAATCCCTGGTGAGTATAAATACAGTAAACGGGAAATATATTTACAGCAAATACACTGTTTCCGCAGTTTAACCATTCCAGTTACACTTTTTGTGATAATGGTGTGAAGGAACCAATTTTGAAAACTGAAAGGCTTGCCTGTCACAATTATCATTATATCGACTTATCGACTCAATACATGGACTTGACCCTAATAAATTTTGTGATCAGTATTTATTGTTCATAATGTCTACATGGTGTCAGTGAATTCAGGAAAGTCTTTTACAAGCAATACTTACTAAAAGAGGAGGAAAAAAGTGAATTTTCACACTGGTTTGGAAGGTGTGCTCTATTTCAAAGCTGCAATCCACTTGCAGAAAATGACAGTTCACTAACCATTTAAAAGGCATTTTACAATGACATTTACATGTGTTTTTGGTCCTATTGTGTACTAAAGTGTTTATGCCTATCTACAGTATATGCTGTTGTATGATCCTTATATAAACGCGGACATAAATTAGTATTGAAATGACAATGATATCAATTATTGCATTAGTTTCTATGACTATATACAGCACAGCTAAAATGATTTAATGTGACAGGCCTATGTGCACTGTTTAAACATGGATTAAGATCTGTTTTCCACTCTGAACAGCAAAGCAATTTATAGCCTTCAATTGTTTTAAAGCACTGATTTCTACCAACAAATAAGAAATGTAAAAGGTTTATATAACAATTCTGAAAATAATTGAAAGTATTGTGGAGCGCCTATGATAAAAATATTGTGCATATTTTTAGCATAAAACATTTTATTATATATGTAATCATGAAACCCCTTTCTTTCAGTTCAAATCTACCTCTTGAATGTTTTGAAACATACAACCTAAGTGAAGGTAGGGAGTAAGGGTTGAACGACATTAGATTTTAGGAATTTGTAATTAATTTGCAGAAAATATACAGTTGAAGTCAGAATTATTAGTCGCCTTTTGATATATATATTTTTTTCTTTTATAAATATTTGCCAAATGATGTTTAACAGAGCAAGGAAATTTTCATTAAAAATTTTTAACAATTTTAAAAACCCTTTTAAGGTCAAAATTATTAGCCCCTTTAAGCTATATTTTTTATCGATAGTCTACAGAACAAACAATCGTTATACAATGACTTTCCTAATTACGCAGCTTTCAGACGCTCCAGTGTCCATGGAAGTTATTTTGTAAACTGGTGATCATTATTACCAATCACAGTCATATCTTTTGAACCTGTGAACACAATGGCCAATCTAAAAGTGATCACTTAGCAGCATTTAAAATGCAAGCAGGAAATGCTGCTATTGTCATATTTCTTAAATTTCAGTGCAGACGCGAGGAAGTAGGCACTTTTGACAAAACTGCCATCAGTTAAGTTTTACTGGAGTTTGAAAAAGTCATCACAAGCCACTGAAAATTTCTGTTGTACCATTCCTGTGGTACAGTATATCCAGGTTGTTGTTGTTGTTGTTGTTGTTGTTGTTGTTGTTGTTGTTGTTGTTTTACATGTTTTCAAAGCCACAATAGTGCAGTGGCTTATTTATATCCAAAGAAAAGAAAGATATATAAAGACGCCATTTTAGTTTGCTAAGAAATCTGTGCTTTTTAAACTAATAAACATAGCAAAAGTCAAAGATTAATTTAATTATTTAGCCTGACATGTTGTTTATATATATATATATATATATATATATATATATATATATATATATATATATATATATATTTAAGAGTTCACACTCAGATAATGCTCGAATATGATATCAGGTTTGGCATGCTGTCACGGGAGAAAACCCTGAGTTCGGAGACAGATGAGCCCTAGGTTCCCGCCTAGTCAATGAGCATTAGGAGGGATACGAGATCAGGTATTTCTCGAGAGCCCCCTAGTTAGTTTTTTGCCTATACTTTGGTTAATATGCTGGTTCTAATTGATTCAGTGTGTATGCGTGCTCATGAATGCGTATCATGAATGCCTATAACTGCCTAACTGAACAAATAATTCAGAAGCAGTGAGTTCTAGAATAAGAAACCATAGTCTCATAAATAATAGTTAAACACTGACGCATCATCAATGTACTCGCAGTGCTATGCTATACCCATCACCACCGGTTACACAGCCACATATACTGTAGATTTTAAATCCAGAAGATTAAATTAGTGGGGGAAACCTCAAAATTTTTCAGTTGTTCCCTACAATTAAAGCTAACAGATGCTAATGTTGTCTTAAGTGATGTTTAATACACATAATTATGATAAAATCACAGCAAACTGAATCTGTCTTGTAATCTTTTAAAACCTCTACTGGTTTCTTCCTTCTGTTAAACAAAAAAGAAGATATTTTGAAGAATGATGGTTGCTGGCACCCAATGACTTCCATAATACTATGAAAAAAGTACTATGGAAAAAATAATATGGAAGTCAATGTGTGTCAGCAACCGGCACTTTTCAACATGTTTTATATTGTCAGAGAAAAGAAGCTCAAATTGGGTGAGTAAATGATCATTTATGGGTGAAATCCCTTAAAATAATCATTTTTATTGCTTGAAGGAAAAACCTTCTATACAGTACTATTTTTGTTCGAATTACTTGTGTTTTTATTGATATTGGGTATTTACTACAGTATGTAATGAATAATCAATGAGAAAATAATGAGTGGTTTTGATCACAGCATGTATAAATCAATTCAATAATGTCTCCACAGCTTTAGTGGCTAAGGTGTCTAGCTCAGCACAAAAGAAACAACAATTTGAAGTGTATAGTTATTAAAACTCGGCTCAGTTTGGGTGACTGACAGGCGCGTGATGCGTGAGGCCAGCAAACACAACGTATAGCCGTTTCACTTTACTTCAGGACGCATTAATATCGCTCTGTAGGTTTATTAGGGAGACACTCATAAATATTCCAGGCAAATCTAATAAATGCTGGAGACAGACTCGTTGCATAAACGCACTAAATCGCACTTCAGCTGCAATTATTTGAGAACGCACAAGATTTGCGCTCTCTTGAAGTGGCTTATATTTAAGGGAGCGTGCAAAAAGTTTTGTGCATGAGCAGAGGAAATCGGCACGCAAGCACAGAGATCCGCATGCTGTAGTGTAAGCTATTATTTAAATGCGATCTCGACTTCTAATACTGCCCTCACAACATTTGTCATTGAAATAACGCCACATGTAGATCTGTTTAAAAAAAAAGGCCTGCCGCCACAGCTGGAAAAAAATCCTTGAGGGAACACTGCACTGGATTCATTAGGTATAGGTTTGAGGTCAAATATAATGTTGGTGTTATTCTATAAAGGTCAGATAACATTTCTTCCATATTTCAGAGTCTTTTTCCTTAAATTGATCAACATAACAAAGGTAATCATTTAGTGATTAACACATAGTGATTGAACTGACAATCAGTGTTATTCCCCAAAGCATTGACTTCCAACTCTCCTAAAGCTAAAACATTGGTTTTGTGTTGTCCAAAACACAAAAACTTAAGCGAAAAAGCAAAGACGGGACAGAATTTTTTTGTGAGTGTGTGTGCTATTTTAAGCAAAACAAAAGCTCCAAATGACAACATTATTTAAAGAAATTGGAATAAATGCCATCAGTAGTTTGCAGAATTAAACAGAAATTACATTATACCAAAAGACATAGCTACAAAACTGTAAATCAAGAGAAACTTAACATCTTTTACATATTATTTACATACTATTTATACAGTGTTACATCAAATCCTGAAAACAAATCAATGCATGGAATGAACAACCTTCATGTTTTAAACAACACATAATGATATAAATAATACTAAGAATTACTCACTTCACTCCTGGTGTCCACCTCTCGGTATTTATCCAGATGAGCTTTGATGGCAGAAAGGTTTTCCTCCTCCACGTAGCTGAAGAGACTCTGGGTGCTCAGAGAATTCATCTTCAGAGATGTGCTGGAGTCCATGGTTGCGCTAGAGACTCCGCTGGAGAACGTAGAGGAAAGCAGAAGAGAGACATCATTAAAGGAAACTCTCCGCTGTTCAGCCATTGTAAACAACGGGCTTCTTGTCTTGAAGCAGAGTGACAGATGTGGAATAACAAGACTGACAGTAACAAGCCCGGTCTTGTGGGATTGCATAAACCATTTGAGTTAATGATGAACCGCATGTTAACTCAACAGACAGTAGGAGAATACCTTATCAGTATCGATTAGGATAAAGCCCGCATGATGTGAAGTTAAAAGCCTCTAATGCTGTCATGTGCAATAAATGCTAGAAAGATATTCTGTGCTGATTATCAATGCAACTGTACAAAAAAAATAATTAAAATAACTTTTTCCAGAGTTTATCCTAAGTTGTTATTCAGAAAAACAAAGACTGTAGTTCAATCCTCTTAATGGTCCTTAAAGGAACACTATTGTTTTTTTTTTGTTTGTTTTTTGGTATTTATTTGGCAAATAGGCAAATAGTTTTAAAAACCCCACTAAAATTAAAGTTTGTTGTCATATCAGCCTAGAAAACAGCAACTTTTTTTTTTCTGTTGGTCTTAGGAGAAAAATAGGTAAATTTTTCAAACTATTTTTTTTTTTTGTTTAATGCCTATGGTCTAATCTGATTCAATTATTTATGCTAAGCTAAGCTAAAAGTCATCCTACAACACCAGTGGATTGGCTAAATCTTTGGTAAAATGGTAAAACTCAGTCTTTTAATTCTAGGGGCAGGCCCGGATTGGCTAATCGGGAGCACACGACAGCCACACTATTTTTATTTATTGTTTTGTCGCAGCTCCGTTCTTTTTATTTATTTCTTGCAGCCCCGTAAGCAAATTGCAGCCTGCAGGTTAATGATGATGTAACTATTATTCCACCCCAAACAGCGGCACCTTAGTGAATATTAATTAATAATAATAATTATTACACCTGCTCAATGAAAATCAGATGATTCACTACATTAAAAAAATTTAACATCATTTGATCAGAAATCTAAAAAGGGGAGAAAAAGAGTAGCCATCAATAGCAGCAGATAACAATTCAATACTTATTTTTTATCCCGGACTCATCACCTTAACACAGTCTTCTTGGTCTAGTGGTTAGCACGATCTGAGTTCGAATCTCACCAGGATAATTTTTTTTTTTTTTTCATTTTTAGTGTTAAGACATGTTACATATGTAGGGGTACATATTTATTTTTTTGTGTGTGTGACAACCATTACAAAGGACTGGATATCTATAAAGAATGAATGTTCTCATATTTATGAAAAACATTAGAAGTTCTAAAGCAGGTGTGTCCTTGAAAAAGACGTCTTAGTGTCATTAGAAACTGTATTGGAAATAACGTTATTTTAATACAGTCAGTCGTCGACTGAGGTGGGCCGGTCCAAAGCTTGAAACTCCAGAGCAAAAAAGAGTCCCACTCCGGCCCTGTCTAGGGGAGTTGTAAAATGAGCCAAAACAATTAAAAAGTAGAAGGTTCTTGGTCCAAAGCTAATAAACTTTGGCCTCAGAAATGTTGTAAAACTCAATAAAACGCTTCATATCAGCGGTGCCCAAACTCTGATCTGGAGAGCTGGTGTCCTACATATTTTAGTTTCAGCCCCAATTAAACAAGCCTGAACCAGCCAATCAAGCTCTTTCTAGGTATACTAGAAACATCTAGAAAGGTGTGTTGAGGTAAGTTGGAGCTAAACTGTGCAGGACACCAGCCCTCCAGGGCCGAGATTGGACACCAATGCTTTAATATGAAAGAATTTATTATTACTCATCAATTGTCAGTGTTGTAAAAGGACAGAAAAGGCCACATATTGAATTGAATCACATGTGCTAGTTTAAAAATATAAATCTAAAAGCACAAGGTAAGATAAAGGAACACAATGACTACATGTGCATGAACACCAATTAATCGATTTTAATGCGATTAAGACAATACTCTAATTAAGAGTTAACCATGTAAACAGCGATTTTTGATTCATTTATTCAGATTAAGGTCATAATCGACCAAACAGAAAACATCATTAATCGTAATTAAGACAGGTGGAGTATGCCGATTTTAGTCGCATTATTGATGTGCAGTACAGACATGTCAACACCTTAATGGAATTTTACCGTCATGTAAGACTTTTCACCGCATTTTTCGACAGGATAGTCCACAAACACACACACACGGCTGTTTGACACTCTTTGCACCTACCCAGTCGGTGCAGACCACAGACACTTGCATCGTGAAATGCAGAGATTTTTTTTCTTCCATTTAGCATGCGGTGTGAACTTACATCAAAACAACACTTCCAGCAGTTCATAGTTGCTTTCAATTTCTCGTTTGTCAGAGAGGGCGTGTAGGAAATGTTCGTGAATGAAAGTGAAAGTGCCAAACTGCAATTAAATTTGACAAATTAAAAATGAACTCAGGTGGAAATGCGAATAGCGCGATGACACAATGACGTTAATCGAATTATGTTCTAAAACGGGATCATGAAAGTAACACTCAAAAGCAACTCATGTAAACACCTTAATCTTATTATTTCCTTAATTAGATCAAAGCGAATAATTCGATTACCGATTTCCATGTAAACGTAGTCAATGAGGTATACATTTAATTACTTCTATGTATTTGAATACTTCAATACCAGGGCAACACGGTGGCGCAGTAGGTAGTGCTGTCGCCTCACAGCAAGAAGGTCGCTGGTTCGAGCCTCAGCTGTGTCAGTTGGCATTTCTGTGTGGAGATTGCATGTTCTCCCCACGTTTTTGTGGGTTTCCTCCCGGTGTCCAAAGTCCAAAGACATGCGGTACAGCTGAATTATGTAAGCTAAAATTGTCTGTGTGTGAATCAGTGTGTATGGGGTTTCCCAGTGATGGATTGCAGCTGAAAGGGCCTCCGCTGCATAAAACATGTAATGGATAAGTTGGCAGTTCCTTCCTCAGTGGTGACCCCAGAATAATAAAGGGACTAAGCCAAAAAGAAAATGAATACATTACTTTAATATCCAAACATTATTTTAATTTTAACTGACAAAACTGAAAGTGATGTGGGTCATGGGGTTTCAGAGTCAACTCATCCAGAGCTTCTTTTATATACTTTTTCATAAATAATAAAACTATAAATAGAGATGAAAGCTAGGATATTTTAAAATTCAATGAGCATATTTACTGAGTAACCCACATTGTTGCAAAAGGCAAAAAGTCAAACTTTACTTTAATTTGTACATATTCATAGGTCTGTTATTTGACAGACTTTATAGCATTATATGCTAATTGTGACCCTTTGAAAATGGGTAAAAGCACTACTTGCTGAAAATGCTAAATAATAAATTCAGTTTGAAATGATTAAACACTGATGTGGCAAATCGATAAAGCCTATTGGTCTGAAGGATACAATGGAATAGTCTAAATAAAGTAATAATACATTAAAAAATTACAATTAAAGAGAATTTTGGGATTGTCATTTTTAATGGAATCATTTAATGTGTAAATATACATGTATTTTTAATATGTGTAAAAAAATTCTATGTAAACTACTATTACATTGCATGACATTAATTGGGTGTCTTCTGTAAATAAATGCATGATTGATATTGTCATTGCTCATGATGATTGAATGAATTAACAAACGAACGAATGAACGAACGAACGAATGAACGGACGATAAATGAACGATGAACGAACGAATGAATCATTAAAGTTGTTTTATGCTTTTCTTAATGCTTGGATATGTAAATTTAACCCTTACATTTTTAACATTCAACTGGTGTCAAAAGCTCTTTCAATTGTTATTTTAAACCAGTTTTCCTCAAGTTCACATTAGTGTAGCTTATTATTATTAACTATCAATAATCACCCAACAATGAGACACTTTTTATCCGGACTTAAAAACAGATTTAATTTAAACCCTTACTAAAAGTGGGTGTTACCAAAGAAACTGATGATACTTGGCTTCATATGCTGCTATATAAAGCAAACACATGCTATACTTTAAGATTTGCAATGTACACATAAACACTATAATGAAGCTTCCAAACAAAGTAAACGAGGCCAAAATGCTAGTACTTTTTTCCTCCAGAGTCATTCTGTCAACTCAGCAACCCATGAAAGATGGAAACTGGCCACCAAACATTGCTTCCAGCTGACAACATGCCAAGCTCCATCATAATAGGTTAAAACAACCAGCGGAGTCTCAATGCCCAAAATCCACTCAATTACAGAAGAAATGAAGAGATCACATGCAAAAACCTTTAAGTTTACATAATGTGTCACTATAAAGCAACCACATTCTATATTTCTGAATATTTCTATTGACTTTATATATACAGTACATATTCTACATGCACTTTTTAATTGAGACAGATCCACATAACTGTTCAGCCAGCCCAATCTCACGAGGAAATATTTTAAGTCTGATTTAAAAAAAACAACAAAAAAAAACATCCTAATGTGTCACTATATAAAGCAACCACATTGTATATTTCTATATTTTCTTATATATATTCTATACACTTTAATTGCAACATGTCTAACTGTTAAGCCAGCCCAATCTCACAAGGAAATGTACATATTTTATGTATTGTAAAAAAGTAGATACTTCATATAAATTCATATGATTTCACAAACATATAACTTTTTTTAAAAGAGGCGTGCCCCCAAACCACACCGCTAAACCTACCCCTTATTAAAGGATGAGCTAAAAACGACTTATCCAGCACGTTTTACACAGCAGATGCCCTTTCAGCTGCAACCCATAACTGGGAAACACCCACACACTCCCATTCACACATACACTACGGACAATTTAGCTTACCAAATTTACCTATAGCGCATGTCTTTGGAATTGTGGGGGAAACCGGAGCAACAGGAGGAAACCCACGCCAACACAGGGAGAACATGCAAACTCCACACATAAATGCCAACTGACCTAGCCGAGGCTCGAACCAGCGGCCTTCTTGCTGTGAGGCAATCATGCTACCCAATGCGCCACCGTGTCGCTCTATATTT